TATTGTTTGTGGCTGAAAAATGGCTGAAAACGTATGTTTGCACTGTATTGTGTTTCAGATCACCGTTTTCAAAAAAGCAGAACTGGATGATCATTGAAGATTGATAGATTGATCTACATTGAAGCAGGGTTGTCATTTGCATTTCAGTCAATCAGATATTTTGAGAGACATTCAAGACAGGGCAAATGTCTAATTTGGCACACAGGAGTCTTTTAGAGTATTTTTATTCTTCTTTCAACAATGCAAAAACAACTTCAAACACTATATTTAAAAATAACACAGACATGCCTGCAACTGTAGATATTTCTATCTCTTTCTAATGTCGATAGATGACAATATAAGCTAAATCAGAATGCAAAAAGTAATGAATATCACAGTTTTAACTTATTTACAGGAAACACCTACTATAATTAAATCTCATTTATGCACCAAAAAACGACATGCTGCATTCAAGCCCTCCTGGGAAGTTTGTATACAGGTTGACAAGGCTAAATTTTACGACGGGAGCGTTCAAGTCACTTCAGTCGGCACAAGATGGTGGTATACCTTCTTTTGGTAAATTACAAGAGCATAAAGCCAGGTTTGTCATCTATGGTTATAGAACATGAAGAGCAAATAATTCTCAATCAACTCTTTTTTTATAAACAAATAAGGCATATTTACATGAATAAAATGCCTATGAAGCCTGACAGACATTGCGTCTATGGATTCTGCCATGTTTCAAATGGACATGGCCTCAACTCGCGGTTTCTTTCTCGTAACAACGACTGTATGGAGTCTTTCATGTACTTTTAACTTGTAATGCTTTCCCAAAAAAATGTATTCTTTGGTTACTCACTGAATATAGATCCTTCTCATTGTAAATTTATTAATGTATTGCTTTTTTTGGCAACATTTAAAATCCATAAATGTAAATTTTTAAAGAAACACCCTTACTTTTTTATTTTCAGAAAGGACTTTGATTTATTTGTGAACTCTTTAAAAGACTCTAACAATTACATTGCATGTAAAACTCCTTTTTGGTGTAAATCATTTAAACTTGTTTACTTTGCTGGAATTTTATTTATGTAACCCTCCTCGTCTCTGTTCATATTGTATCTTTGTATTGTTCTTTCTTGCATATAAAAAACAACAACTTGCAAATACGGTTTATCCGACATGACTTTAACTTACTTACATTTGTTAATGACATTACAAAAGGCTCTATTTAATGATCACAGTGCAGCCCTAAAATACTGACTTATTATCATGTAAAATCTTTTAAATTTATTTTAATACGTCTTTTTTTAATTTTACTAAAACATTTACACTGAATGACAATTATTTTCCCATACTTTATCATGCATTTAATATGCTTTCTCTGTATATAAAAATACTTTAAATGATTTAACTTGATTTTAATAGCACCTTGTTGCTGTTACCAGTATATGTTCTTATATTTGTCATGACAGTAAGCCATGTGATATTAATCTTGTTCATTATTTTTCTCTCTAAACAGGCTCCTACCATGGAAAACTGTATAAATACCTATAAAACCACAGTTGTCATCAGCTGCTGGAGAAACTGAGACCCTATCCTGCTATGTTTGACTCAAATGGTCAATCTGATCACCTCAGGAATCCAGTGTCCAACATCTCTTCCAGACAGTGCTCTGTGGAAATTAAACAAGCAGTCATGAGGGATAGATTTAACATGTGCACTAATTGATTTATCTGGATAGCAGCCTTCAGACAATCACTAATAATTGTAATCAGAATGATTTGGGCTGTTAAACCATATAGATTTTTTTAAATTGTGTCATATCAATTGCTCAACAATGTGCCTTAATGTGTGAAATGTTTACAATGATGTTTGCTAATGTTGCAACATGGCAGTGTCTGAGAATTTATATGTATTCAATGTTTTCTTGTCTTATATACATTATAGTGAACTTTCATGTTAGATACAGTTGTGTTTGTAATGTAGCTACAGCATAATATCTAGACTTTTATCTGATTTTGTAATGTCTAAACAATGTCTGTACTAATAAACATGCATTAAATATGAGTTTGTTGAGACTGATTTTAGGTTCTGCTTCCCATAAAATTTACAAACAATAAATAAAAGGTTTTTTTCTTAAGAAGTCATTTTGGTCATCAGAACAATACATTTCTACAAAAAAATCGTTGATCCTTCAACTATTGGTATTTTTAAGAGGGTATAGAAATACAGTAAGAGCTGGATATTAAGCTAAATTGTAAGCTGATAGTTCTGACACCACATGATGAACTGAGTAGCAGAAAATAACCAGCAATGAATCACCTCATTTGATGCAGGAGTCAAAAAAACATATGTGCTGATGCAGAATGAGTCAGCTGGGTGGGTTTGAGGCTTAGTGTGTTTGTAAATCTTTGGAAAAGAGATCAAATAATTGGATTTACTTGATTGGCAGACTCTCTTCAATTATTGTTTTAATTTACTGGGATTAAATAAAGGTGAAGCATACATTCCTTGCATGATATTTTCTTAAAAATATGCACGAGCTGGAATGCTCATTCAGCACTCCGACAGCTGATGAGGAATATGCCTGATGTAAAACATCTTAAATTACATTAAGCCACAGAAGAAGCATTCACACACCTCTCAAGTGAAGATGGATGTCTTCTTTTGCAAATCTGACAAGATTTATTCTTCAGGTGAAATTTAATTTTAATAGGATTTTCCACTGAAGTTCCACAATCACAAAATAATCTGAAGTTTTGAGTCATGCTAGTTAATCGTTTCTTAAACGCCAAAACCTTTATAAATGTAGTGCAAATTAGCGCTATCTTGAGCTTTTAAATAGCCCAAGCTTCGAGTCGCATTTGTTTTATACCCGTTCTCTACAATCTTCAGCCTATTTCTGTACCAAAAAAGGATAAATAAAACAAATATCATTAAAAATACATTGAGATACTTTTGGTTATTTAAAATCAAATAATGCACAGCATTATCAACGAGATAAATCAGATTAAAATAGTTACACATTTTCAGTAACATGCAATCGCTAATGAATGTTCAATTATTTGAGAAACAAATACGACAATATAGCCTATAGGCTATACATTAATATTCTCTCTACAAATGCTAGAGTACATTAACCCAATGTTGGGTCAAAATATGTATAAACCCAACCGTTGATAAAAAAAAAAAGTATTTTAAATGAAATTGGAAAAAAATAAATAAACAACGTTTGGGTTTATTTATATTTGACCCAACGTTGGGCTAATACAACCCAAATTTTTTATTTGTTTCAACCATTTTCTTTCTTTCTTTCTTTGCTTTTAGCTTTGCCCAAACTTCTCTCCACAATTAAGCTCCGTCCCAGTAATTTATGTAATTTATTACGGCGTGATTGACTTGCATCCGTAAAATCAACAATAAGAGGAGAAACACGAGGTCTGACGAAACACAAATCTTTTTTTTCTTGGAAAACACACATACGTGACACGACCATTATATAAACATTTACTATTAGCAATAAACAACCTGTGTGTATTAGATTTCCAGCTATCTAAATCTAACAAACACAGCGCTCATATATGGATGAGCCTGTGGAGAAAGAAGAGACTCATTAGTCGTTCGGATATCAAGTTAATATTGTGGGAGAGACTCTGGACTGCTGTAACACGGGGTAAGTTTGTAACACCATTAGTTTGCAATTAGAAATCAGCTACAGGGGTGAAATAACCATCATCCACAAGCAGCATCCTTCTTAGGAAGTTGTAAGACACTTGTGTAAGAATAGAATTAACAAGACAATTCGGAGAAAATAAGTTCGCGTCTGCTTTATAGTTTGATGGGGGAAACAATGTTAAATGCTAAACAGCAGGTCGCGTGATCAGCAGAAGTGCTTCGTTTTATTAAAATAAGCACATGCATTTAAATGTTGAAAGTCTAAACTTTATGCCCGAATAGACGTAAATGCGTATAACACCCTTAATAAGACTGAGCACAACCACACAATGACTTAACTCGTTGCACAAATGCTTTAAGAGCTGTTAGCGTGTTGTGTTTGCCCTGAAATGCATTTGCTGTTTTACTTAAAATGTTTTCCTATATTAGGCTAAATTAAATGTCCACGTCTTCTAATAATATTTCGATCCACAACGATTGCATTATTTTTATCTGACACGGATTTTAACAATTTAGGTTGTACATTTCCAAACAGCTTGTTTACAAGATAAGAGGTTTGTTTGTGTGCAAATTAATTGGTGAATGCAACTATACGGATATATTAAATAAATATATATTTTAGCTAAATATATTTAGCCATTTTATAACGTAGCTACTACACTCAAAAATATCTTGCTGCATGTTCAAAGTAGGCTATTTATTTGAAATGAAATGAAAAGCATATTGCGACTTTATTTGGGGCAACTTAATTGTTTTTACAAATTTAAGTGGACTAAACAAAACAATTACGTTAACTTAATCGATTTGTGTCTGGGCAGCATGAATGGATTGTGTAGAAGCCTGTATCTATTTTATAATATACATATCAGACTAATAAGACCCATTTTATTTTCATACAAGTTTTACAAACCCTAAAAAAGCTTTTGAGATACTCGACATGTTTCACTCAAAACAAATTTGTCTCCAAAACATGGTTAAGTAGCTACACACAAACTCCACGATCTCCCCATCCTCACCACAGCCTGTCTCGGGTAACCCTTGAGGTTTAGTTAATAGAAAAGGGTAGTGACCTCTTTATGGCGGATCAAAGGGTCAAACTGATTCAGAACTGACCAGACACGCGTCATTTGCACTAACAGGCCTCTTAAAAAATCATGAATATCTCAGAAATATCAAATGACTATGGTATTGGGGAGGGGGACTGTTATATATTATGAACTCTGAAGTAACATCTGTTTGCATTTATTTAGAAAATAGTATCTTTCAAAAAGTAAGGTTACAAACATACATGCAACCATGAAATCAGTTATATTGAATTGTTAGGACAAGTGCTATGGTGCTAATAATATCATTTAATCTTAAACATTTTTTATTTCTTTACATAAATATTAATCAGTTTGCATTCCAGCAGTCGGAAAAGTGGACCTCATTGATGCTCTTCAGTGTCATATTTGAAGTTGATGTCAACACTGGTCTCTTGAGGACCAGCCACAGATGACACAGGGGTCAGAGGTGATGTGCTGGGTTCAAGTGGTTTGTCCAGTTATTCCCAAAGGGCCAATCCAATGATCTAAGGGGAAAGAGATGACACGATTTTGCCCCGTGTGCCCCACTAATAATTCATTTGACTCAATTCCACTTACAATACAGCATATTTAGTTGAAAGCATGCAGATGTAAATAAGGTTTAGGCCTCTAGATAATCCAGGCTATCGTGGCAAAACGGATTTATTTTATGTTCTGATGCGCGATTAATGAATGAACAACAATGAAACTAAAGGCGCATCGAAAGCTTAGTGAATTGAATTAAACGTCGATTTACAAAAATAATAATAAATAATAATAATAATAAATAAATAACATTAGAGGACGTGGTTGTGTGAATTCATATGTACATCCTTGCTCAGAATCTCCCTCTTTATTTTTACATTAGATGGAACTACTGTTCTATAATAAATGGAACTAATGTTCTTTATTAAATGGAACGCTTGAGAACGCAAAAATGCCGGAATTGGCCCACCAAAGTGCGCGCGCTAACTGCAGGTGTTAAGTCACGTGGCGCTGTATGATCGTTTGTATTCATTCATTAATTCTGCTCGGATTTTCTGCTTGTCATAAGCAGATAAATAGCAACTATTGTACAAAGGGGCACTGAGGGTTTACCTATTTAAAAAGCACTGAGAAATTAATCTTTAGCTGTGATGTAAAAGGGAAAAAACTAAACTCTTTTTGTTCGTTATATGGTCAAAGTTAACAAAGAAAAGAGGAGTTTACATTTAACCGATTAGAATCCAGCGAATGAGCACCACTGTCTCTCAAAATATAAGGTAATATGAGGTATACAGGTTTTAAGGGGAAATAAAATAAAATACAGTATTAAAAATAAAGGGTTTTTTAGCATCTATGGTTCCGTGAAAAAAAAACTTGAACTTTAATGGCTTTTTAATGACACAAAAGGTTCCTCACAGTTGAAAAAGTTATTTAGATTGTTAGAACGCTTTTCAGATGAAGACACATTTTTATATGGAATTATTGCAAAAACACAGTTTTAAACCATTACTATAAAGAAATTCCTGAACCAAAATTGAGACATACCCACGCTATCATTTTTTTGTTGTTGTTGAAATAGCATGATTTGCCTATAAGTTTGTACAAATGTATTTGCTTAGATTTAATGCATTTTACATTTGAAATTTCTAATAGGTAAAAAATAGGCATTGGTAGTGATAAAATAGAAAATTATTCTGATTAACACACCAAATTGTGCAACGAATGTAAAGTGTCCGTGTTTTCAATTGGACGACACACTTGACGTTAATTATAATAATCGTAGATTTAAAAATGCTGGAATTTTATATCAACGGTTGAAAAACACAAAGCACGAATAAACACAAACACAAAGCAGTCACAGATACAGAAAACGTGTAGCAACACCTTTTCTCCTTTACTCGCGGTCTCCAAAACACTGAAGGATTCGCGGATGGGAAAAAGCTCAGTCTTTCATTAACAGCCAGACGAGCAGCAATTAGCAACAGAGCGGCTCAGCAAAGCCAAGAGCGCCGGGATTATTGTCCAATCATTTATATCTTCCAAACCAGTAAGCATTAGACTCTGTATTGTAAGTTAGCATAAGAATAGGAACAGGTCCTGTGAACTTCCCCGACCTTCTGACCCTCTTTTCCCGAGATGAATAGCACCACTTTCAGACACCCCAGCCTCTTCAACAGGCTTGAACCATGCCTAAATTCCCAATCATGGTAATTTAATATATCTTAAACCCCCCCGGCTGCTTGAGTCCAGTTTTTCTATAGTTTGACGCAGGCATCTATGTCGCCTCACCCTGTCATTAGGACTCTTATTTGGGGACTAGATTTCCCTCGTTAACCTAAAAAATCATTGTGAATGATGTTCACATCTTTTTGAGTATCAATTTATATAGCTACAATAAGGAACTTCAGGAAGGATGCACCCAACAATAGTACACACATAAATCCGATAAGCACTTGCCTTCGTAAAATCGAATTATTTAATGTATTATTATTGTTTGGACGAAATAGGGTAAAGCAACTTAAAATAACTTAAATGCCAAGTTGAAGCTCAGGACTGGTTCTGTCATTGACTGGCACGTTAGAGGCATTAGGCGCGTGCGCAGGACTCTTAACAAAATGCCCCTGCCTCTTTGATGAATGGCGAATATCTAATGAGGCAGATGGGCACCTACTGTACTTTTCATTGTTTGCTGATAATGCATCGATTAAAAAGCCCGGACATGTTGGATTTAAATGTTACATAAATGTTTATTAATGGCTTTCCAATAATAATGAGACATTGAGGATGGGAGAGCTCGATTTTTTTCGCCCCCTTTTTTTTTTTGCCCGTCAAGCGCGCGCGCCCCACGCGAGCTGCCTATTCTGTAGAACTAAAGGAAAAAGGCGACATCTTTTGGCTGGAATACCAACAATAGCACCCACAAACCCGCCGAATCATTTGAACAAGGCATTGAACAAGCACTTGAATTCACCCTGAAATAGATGCTTGCATGCTATTATGAAGAACTAACAATGAAAATAAACCCTAAATGATCAATAAAGTATTAACAGCCTACCCCACAATGATCTACGCCTCCATCTAGGGGACGTGCGTTGGTGTACGCAGCTGAGTGGATATTAAACTGTGTGAACATCAAGGCATCAACAACATTAATTATCGCGAGTTAATTTATGCATAGGCTAATTGTGTGTGATGTCACGTTGCACCTCGCTGTATCGCGAGAATAAACAGGCCTTTTAGTCTCGGTGCTGCTAATCGGGTAGTGGTGGACGTCAGCATCCGTTCTCATAAATGAATCTAAAACATATACTATAATAGCCTACATAATTAAAAAAATATTTAGCAGAGATGGAAATTATGCAACAAAACAAACAGAAAAAAAGACTTAAAGAGCTATTTATTAACACGAATGCACACATTGCATTAAAATTAACTAGAATTATTATAACATGAGCTGAAAATATGCGGTTCCACTATTAAAAGAGGGCGTTAACAACGCGTTAATGGCTTATTGTCCAATAACTTTAACATCCTAGAGGAGAAAGGGAGAGGTATTGACGAAAGCAAGGCCTATATAAATACATGCAGCTTTGCGGTTCATGAGGTCTGCTGTTGTAATTCCATTTTGACTTGGCTTTTAGTGCTTGTGGTGCAGTGTTCAGCACACAGAACAGACCCTTTACACATAATTACAGCTAATGTAACACTTGGCAAGAGGAAGGTGCCACATTTGGCGCGTATCCAACACTAAGAGCTCCAGTACAAAAGCCCGTCAAGATGAATGCATATGCCGTTAATGAAAATGCACACATATATGTCTTTTTATTGGCGACAACATCCATAAGTTTTAACAAACAATTATGTAATTGATTAGATCATGCATGTAGAGAGAATATATCCGAAGTGTCCAACTATAATGGACACAAACCAGACTTGGTTTTCAGACATAAAATAGAGAGGGAAGTGGGCGTACTAAAAATTATAGATCACTCAGAAATATATTACCATACAAGCATCGTTCATCGTTTGATGTTATTTCAATAGAGGGATTAACGTGTAAGATTAGATCAAATAAGCAAATCACAAGGGGAAAATCGAGCATGACTGAATAGCACTGACTGTAACTTGACTGAACGCAACAAATATCTATTGATCTAATAAACACATATTTAATTGCGTCTTTAAAATCACATCCAGCCCGAACTAAATTACTAAGACTTTTAGGAGTGTTTCATTTTTTTTTGTAAGATATGTGCAGCGTTTAACACATAGATTTGTGTTTGTTCATTACATATTATTTTAAAGTATTAAAGTAAACGCTTTAATGCAGTACTGTGCTTTTCACTAATATGAACTACAAAGCTGTTTATTAGAGATTAAAACACATCTTTCGTTCTCATTGAAAATCTCCACTGTTCGTGATGCAAATATTCCCCTAATTTGGCGCACTGCCAAATGGGCCTCTAGTTAATTGCACACTTGTGTTATAGTCTGTGAGCCTTTGTTTCACACATGAGATCAGAAATGTAGCTTAAGCTTACACGTATTTCGTTGAAGCATGTTCCATTCCTAAGAAAACAAAATATGGAGAAATTAATGCCTTAAATCTATCCAATGAACAGTCAATATTAATCTGAAATTTCTAGCTATATAATCTCAGTGTTTTGAATGAACGAAACAAATATAAAGGTGCGTTTAAAAATACGTTTATGCATTTCGATTTTAATTATAGAATCATTAGGCTGTCAATATTATTAGCTGTTATGATTACTAAAGCTTTTGAATTCGAATACAACATTGTTAAGTCTTCATTATTGTCACATTTCTACTAAATTTGACAGTGCATTATGAGCATATCCACTTAAAATTACTAAAGCTTCAATACAGGTCATATAATGTCTCATTATCGCTTCAGAAAAATCTGTCGTACCTTGAGACTGAATCCGCAGGGACAAAAGAAGCAGACATTCTGTCCAACTGAAAATCTTTTTATCCATAACCTATAGACAAATTTGAAGTCGTTCTAGATACGAGATTTTACTCTAATCTCTGAACTTAAACATGTTATAACAACAACAACCAATTTGAATTAGTAGTAGCAGTAATTGTAGTAATAGTATTTATAATAGGTTAGTAGTAGTAGACTGTTGTTGTATTATGCTTATGCATGTATTGTATAGTTTTATTACACAATAATAATAATAATAATAATAATAGTAGTAATAATCTATAATTATTATTATTAGTAGTAGTAGTAGTAGTAATAGTAGTAGTGGTAAAAGTAGCGGTATTGGTTACGTTTTTATACAAATAGAACAATTAATTAGCCTTTATACTTGATGATGATGATGATGATGATGATGATGATAATGCTATAACTATAATAACAATAAGCAGTAGTGGTAGTAGCAATGTTGTGTAGCCTATACATTTTATATTAAATAAAATCTTATTAGCCTTTTTACTAGATGATGATTAATAAATATTATTGTGATCATAGTGGTATTGTGTAGCCTATACTTGTATTTTAGGGTTAACCAAAATATTAAATTCGTATTTTTAAAATATAAAAGTTATGATGTAATCATGTCGTGTGTGCATGTATATTTAATAATAAAAACAAAAAGAAAAGCATATAAAGGATTTAAACAAAAACTAAATCTAGTTTCAGTTCAAGTTCATGCAAGTAAACCAGGGGTCTCCAAACTCAGTCCTGGGTCGGTGTCCTGCTGAGTTTAGCTCCAACTTGCTTTAACACACCTGCCAGAAAGTTTCTAGTATATCTAAGAGCTTGAGTGGCTGGCTCAGGTGTGTTTGATTGGGGTTGGAGCTAAACCCTCCAGATCACTGGCCCTCCAAGACCGAGTTGGACTATGATGTGTAACATATAGGCTACAGTATCAAAACGTATGTTTCCGACTTTCTATCGTCTCATAACAAACTCGTCACAGACTTCTTTCTTGTGTCTGTATAGCGCAAAAAATGATGAAAACTACTCGTTAGTGCGAAATCAATGCCAGTTAGAGGATGACCAGAAAAACAAAATGATAAAACTCTACACCATGAGTACAAACGCGATCAGATCTGAGAGACAGCGTGTTAACGAAGACATTTACTTCGAATAATCTACAGTCTTGGCATCTCTCGAGAATATATATTATGTAAAAGGTTTGAGAAAAGTGTCCTTTATTTCCATTCATTTAAGCTTGCTTCATAACTCATTCAAAATGCGAGATGGCGACGACGAGCAAGAGGAAACCTGAAAAGTTCATCCATTTAGGGCAGATTAATTTTGTGTGTGCGTGGCGAGGGAGTTTTTACTTGTCAAAAGAGGGAAGTTAAGAAAGAGGAAGTCACACAGTGGAGTCATTGTCTGTCAGACCACCACACTCATCCAGAGATTCAGCAGGGTCTTTCAGGGCCCAGAAGCCGGGGCAGGACTAACGCAGAATCTTAATGCGCTCGGGCCGTTGTGAGAGCAAGCGCACACTGCTGTGGCTCTTTTCACATGCATAGGGACGTTGTGATTTGTTGACTGTTTTTTTTCTTTTCGTCCTCTTCTTCCTGTGTTGCATTGAGTAAAGTTTAGCCCATTGAAAGAGGGTCTGCAATGAAACGGATTGGGGGGGGGGTGTTTGAGACTCTGGAGACCCCCTAGGAGGTCAGTTAGTGCCACCCAGGTATGGGGTACGCTATGTTTCTATGCTATTTTTGGTTTGTTTTGAAAAAATATACGGGCTATGAAAACAATTGTTATGGTTCTGATTTTCAAACTTGTAAGGACAGAAGATATCCATATAGGTCTTAATAAAATTATATACTATAAAAATGCTGGGTTACACACTTGGGACGCAACCTTGAGACGACAAAGAAATTAAAAGAAATTAAGGCAACTTAGTTTTTACAAAATCAAGTGGATTTGACATAAAACAATAAAGTTGTTCCCTTAAAAACTCAAGATTTGTTTCAGCTCGTTTTAACTAAAAAAAATATATTTTTCCACTTGAAAATTTATTTTTTTTAGTGCAAGTGTTAATAAATGAACTTACATAAACTGCAGAACTGCTCCAGATATGTAATTTGCTAAATGTTGTTATGTCAGATATTTTCTATTATATGTTTTTGTGTGCAGATCTTTTAAGGGAAAGTACACTCAAAAATGAACATTGCCTCATCATTGGTCATCCCTCATTTGGTTTTAAACCTTTATCGAGTTTCCATAAAAATATATATTTTGAAGAATGCTGGTTGCAGGTATTCATTGACATCCTTAAAAATTTTGCCCTACTATGGAATTCAATGGGTGTCACTGTGCCAGCAACTTGCATTCTTCAAAATACGTTCTTGAGTGAAAAGCAAGTAAATGATGGGTGAAAAAACTCTAACTTCTAAAGGCAGAGATTCAGACTGACTTGTATCATGAATTTCATTTATTCATTCATTTTCTTTTCGGCTTAGTCCCTTTATTAATCTGGGGTTGCCACGGCGGAATGAACCGCCAACTTATCCAGCATATGTTTTACACAACGGATGCCCTTCCAGTTGCAACCCAATACTGGAAATATCCATACACACTCATTCACACACATACACTGTAGCCTACCTAAATCACATAGCACATGTTTTTGAACTTGTGGGGGAAACCGGAGCACCAGGAGGAAAAAGCCAACACGGGGAGAACATGCAAACTCATAGAAACGCAAACTGACCCAGCTGAAGCTCGAACCAGCAACCTTCTTGCTGTGAGGCAAACATGCTACCCACTGTGCCACCATGCAGCATGAAATTCATGCGAAAACAAATTGTGCAAGGAAAATGTACTCAAACTTTTATGCTTTCTTGTCAAACCATTGCTGTCGATTTGCAGTTATTTTGGAAATAATGTTCATAACTTAAACTCTCTAATTGTTTTACGCCATATTTTTATCCATTTCTCATTGAATATAGGCAATGTATTTTGGTGCATTAAAACAAAACAGATCTATTAAACAAATTTATTTATTCAAATAAAATGTTCAGTCTACAAATTACTTAGAAATTGAAAGATAATACAATTAAATTCAAGCAAAATATTGCAAAAAAAAAAATTACAAACTACAAAATTTCAACAAAATTTTTTGCTTCTCTTGATTTTTACTTTTTTTAATAAATTTTTATTTAATACTTTTCTATAACAAATACTATTGGATAATATTGGACTATATGTATATATATGTATATATATTAGTCAGAATTA